GACCCAGTGGCGGACAGAGCTGCGGACAGAGCTGCTCAGTGTGTGGCTGGAACCTCAGGTGGAGGCTCAGGAGACAAGCACAGCCCTCCCCAGGCCCAGGGCCGACCTCTTGCACTGGCAGGGGCTGGCCGGCAGAGGGCGCCTCCTGGCGGTTATGGACACTGCAGCTCCGTGGAAGCAGGTGAGGTGGGGCCCAGGTAGAGTTCAAAATGACCAGAAGGCCAGTGGCTTCAGAATCGGCTTGTTTCAGCCCCTGGAGGCACGCCTGGCTGGATGCTTCCCCAGGGCCAGCAGCCTTGTGGACACCGCCCTTCCAGCCCTTAGCCAGCCTCCTGGCTCTGGAAGCCAACCCAGGTCCATCAGCAAACATCTCCTGGGCATCTGCTGAGTGCCAGCCCAGCGCAGGCCTGCTGCGAAGACAAATGCTGGGTCAGAGAGTCAATATATGTCGTGGTGCAGCGTAGCATCAAGACAGAAGTATGGGGACAGTGGCAATTCTTTGTTGTTCTTTTTCTGATTGAAAAAATGAGACATGCTCATTATAGAAAAATCAGAAGATGTAAACGAGAAAGTTCTCTGCCCAAAGACAATGGCCGGATGCCCTCCAATCAGAAGCAGTTCGTTTTGAGATGAGCAAATGGTGGCAAAAGCTTGAGGGCCTGCAGGCGGGAAGAGGCTGCCCTGACAGCTGGGCACAGAAGTGGCGCCGAGTGGCATCCAGGGCTGTGTCATTGTGGGATGCACAGCCCAGAGTTACCGGCAAGGCCAGTGTCCTGCAGATGAACTGGCATCACCAGGAATTCTGGGTCAGAATGCCGGGAAGTGGCTAATAGACTTGAGAGAGTCTGAGAGGAGAGGCCAAATGGTTTTTTAATGGGATGGAAAGGAACTGGCATTGGCTATTTGCAGAATCCACATTCTCTATGTGGGACTGTGGCCACAGCAGATTGTGGGGGCTCAGGGTATTTTATTTCTAGTTCTGTGCTCCAGACAATTCTATTTTCAGAGTATGTTTATAAACACGCACACCCATTCCTGGCAGGCAGGCACCCCCTTACTGGGGGAGAAACGGAGGCTGGCAGAAGCTAGAAGTCAGAGCTGGGAATGGTAACAGGGTGCTGAATTCCAGCCCCTTCTTTCTACCACACACACACACACACACACACACACACACACACACACACCTGTGGGATCCCTTAACATGACCCGCGTGGTTCAGGGCCCACTCAGGGTCCGGCTTCTGGAGAAGGCCGCACACTAAAATGAAGAGAGAGACTGGAAAAGAGTTAATTTGGGAAAATGGGGGCCAGGTGGGAAGTCCACCTCTAGTGGGAAGTCTAACCGCTCTCTGGCCTTTTACCATTCCTTTTATTGAGATTCTGAAACAAAGACCTCTCTCAGGTGGGAAGTTCCAACAACAGAAAATCAACTTACATTTACATATGATTAACAAAGTTGCCTCAAGCACCACTTTCTCAACTAGACAATGAGTTAATAGCTCTGACCCTTCAGAGCCATCAAGGTCGGCTAGCTCTTTTTACATTTTATCTCCAGTGACCATGTTAGGATTCGGTTCCCGGCACATACCCAGGCAACTCTGACCTAACAAGAGAAGCCGGTATAACCCACCTCCTGGTGGCACTGGGCCCCTGAGCGAGCCTGGGGTCAGGAACAGCAGCTGGGGGCCGAGGCTGAGTCAGCCCACTCCCCAGAGGGATGGCCTCAGGCAAGCGATGTCACTTTAAGTGGGAGAGGAACACTCTCACCTGTGGTGGCTGTGATTGCTCCACCCGCTGCCTGCGCCTCCAGCCACATGGAGTGCTTGGGCACCTCCTCTGGGGGCCGCAGGGTTCGGGGGAGAATGTGCAGTCCCATGAACTACCCCACGTGTACCCACACAGGTAGGAGGCCCAGCACTGGGTCAGGGGCAGAGGGGCATCCCATCAGGCCAGGTGGGCCCAGCAGGGCCACGCCCATTGGGCTCAGGCTTTCCTCTCTGGCTGTTCTCATAGGCCCGCAGCTGCAGGCCACAGGGACCCCGGCTGCCCAGCCCAGCACAGCATCGCAGCCTCGGTGGGCAGAGGACGTGGACAGAAACGTCCGGGGCTCAGAGTAAGGAGCCCTGCCCCTGTGGAAGGACCATGTACAAAGCGCAGGGGTGACTGGTCACCAGCCCTTAAGGGCCCGGAAATGAGCTCCGAGCTCCTTGGCAGATCCATTGTATGTATTTACCTGTGCGTCCACCATCCATTTCCCCTTCAGAAATATCTCAGCCATTTTCAGAAAACAGTACATCTGCCCTGCCGGCCCTACCTGTCATTCCGAGGCTTGGGTGGACATGGGGCACACGCTTCACTCAGTTCCTTCACTCACCCCTGATCGTGTGCTCAACCTCTAGGGGTGGGCTAAGGAGGAAGTCTGCCCTCCTGAACAGTAGCCTTTTCTGCCTCGATTGCCCTTTCCAGGCGACAGTGCCGCCCAGCTCGGGATGCAGTGGCCCGGACCCAGGGCCCAGGGCCCGCCCCCTCCAGGACCAGGAGGGGACTGCAGCTCTGAAGGCCAGGGAGACAAGAGCTGGCTGGGGTAAGCAACTGCATGAAGAAGTGGGGTGGGGAGGGGGGCGGGAGGGGGGCGGAAGGGCGTGCCTGAGCTGTGGCCAGGGCTGGGACTCTGGCCAACGCTCACCCCCACAGGTTCCTGGAGGAGCCGGCCCTTGGCCCCTGGCTCAGCCCTTTCTCCGGCCGTCAACGGGTCATGATGCTCTCGACCGTTGGCCTCTCTCCCCAGGAGGAAATACCTGCGGCGCTGGCACCTTGAGGCACTGCTCCGCCGGCTCCAGGGCTCCCAGCAGGCCAGGCGCCTGGCAGGGACATGGCAATGTTGGGTGGATGCTCAGGGGACAGAGGAGCTGGCGCGGTCGCTGGTGAGTGGGGAGGGCCCTTTCTCCCCCCCTCCCCTCCCTGCCCCCAGCCTCACACCAGTTTCTCATGCTATTCTCAACCCTAATGCCTGGATGAAGTCTTTCAAAGCATGGCCTCTGGACCTACTCAGTCTGAAACCTGGGACAGGCCCGGGAATCTGCATTGTTCACGCCCCTCCTATGGCACCCTCCTCCTGTGCCACAGAGGGGCTGGGGGCCAGGCGAGCGCAGGCCCGAGGCGGCAGCCGGCCAGTTCGGGGCTCCCCCTGTCCCCACAGCTCAGGCAGTGGCAGCTGAGGTGGGTCTGGCGCACGTGGCGGCGGCGGGGGTCGTGCAGCTGCGGGTGGCTCGGCGGTCACAGCGACGCGCCGAGGGCTGGGTCCTTTCTCAGGTACGGGCGGGGCGGCCCGGCCCCCGCAGGCCCTTCCAGACCAGCGCCTCTGAGCTGCAGGGCCTCCCTGCGGGCCTCCAGGGCGCCTTCACTTGCGGGGGAGGGTCGGTTTGGGTAGAGAAACTGTTTGGATCTGGAGCCCTTGACCTAGCTGGCAGCCCTGTGCTCGGCCCAGTCCTGCCTGGCACGCAGACTGGGAAAAAGCTTGGCCCTCACATGGCCGCCAAGGCGTTGTCCCGTCCCGTGTGTGCTCTGAGCACAGCTCCCAGGTCACAGGGCAGCTCTATTCTGAGCCTCTGCATTTGGCCGGGGCAGGGTTGGCTGCTGCCCGCCTAGGGCAGAGGGAGGGACCTCTATTTCCCAAGGGACCGAAGGAGCTGGGCACAGACAGCCCAGGCCGGAGGGAGCTGGAGAACTTCTCCTTCCTCTCCCTGTGCCAGGCCTTTGAGAAGTGGCACCGGAATCTGGCAGCCAGGGGCCTGCGGAGGGGCCACCGGCAGCTCGAGAGCCCGGAGTAAGGAGGGCACAGAGCCCACGGAGCACCCCGTGTGTGGCGGACTGGAGGTGGAGCAGGGGCCGCTGCAGCGGGACTTGTTTCAGTGGAAAGAAGATCAGAACAGAGCCCAGCCTTCCCAGGGAGGAACCGCGCCCCGCCCCCTTCCCGGGAGGGCGCCCGGCCCAGAGAAGGGTCCTGGGAGCTTTGAATGGCAATAAACTGCCCTCCTTGGTCTCAGCTGCTTCTCTGGCTCCCAGGAGGCTGGACGGACAGATGGACGGACGTGGAGGGGATGTGCCCACGGGCTGCTCTTTGGACGCACCCCTCTCCATCTCCCCCCCTCTAAGCTGGCAGGCAGAGACGGGGACAGAAAAGAGCCACATGCGCCTGCCAGCCACCACCCTGGGCAGCGCAGCCTGAGGGCTGATTCCTGGAAGCAGTGCCAGGCAGACAGATGCCAGCTGCGCAGAGGGCAGAGCAGCTGGCAAGAAGAGGTCCTGCCTGACAACTAGGCCCGGAAAACAGAAGCCCTTGCTTACGTGACCTCAAGTGACCTCGCCTTTGCCCTCCATGGTGACGGGCAGCGGAGGAAAGGGATGGCGGAGGCTCCAGCAGGCACAGAGATCAGACACCCTGAGCCCTCCACGCAAGAGTTTATCTCTTGCGCCACCAGGATAGAGAAAAGTAGCGTGGAGGGAGTGGAGCCCAGCGGGCTCCAGGTGGAAGGTGGCCTGTGTTATTAGGTTTCAGCCCCAGACCCATCCGGGGGGGCCTGGTGCCAAGGGTAGTGTCTGCCCTTCAGTTACAAGTAGGAAAGTGCCCAGCTGCCAAGGTCTTGGAGGCAGAGGGGGCAGCACCTTCACTCTGCCCCAGCTCTCCGGCGGTGCCACACGTGCCTGCTGCCCGGTGCTCTGCCCGTCTTCCGTGCCCAAGTCGGTCGCCGGCAGCCTCAGGCTGCTCTGAGAGGCCACCTGGTTCGAGGTACCGTCAGCAGTAACGTCTCCTCCCCATCTCAGGGAGGATTGTCCGGGGGGGAGGGGGGGGGATGGAGGTGCTCCCCACAAAAGAGCGAAATCTCCCGGCCCAGCAGGGAACACCAGGTCCCGCCCGGGGCTGACTCAGGTCCCGCTGGAGCCGGGCGCTGCCCCGCGCGGCTGCCGTTGTAGGTGAGGGAGTCCGGGAGCCTGAGGGTGTCAGGGCACGGGGTCCCGGAGCCTGTCCCGCCTTGTTCCGGGTCTGTGGAGCAGTTGGAACGTGTCCTCCACCACCTGCCACAGGCAGTTGTCCAGCGGAAACTCGTTGTCCACCAGGTTGACGAGGAAGTAGTTGTCGTGGATGTGCTGGATGATCATGCGGGACGGGGACTCCTCGGCATACAGCTTGCCCCACTTCTCCACCCACAGGGCGAAGGCTTCGTCCTGGGCAGAGGCGCGGGCGCAGTCACACAAGTGCAGTCACACACGGACACACAGGCACAGACAGGCATACGGCCGCACAGGCACGGTTCACGGGGCTGCCCTTGGGTCAGGGCTCGTGCTCGGGGCCGCAAGAGCCTCCGCCACGGCCCAGGAGGACCTTCCCGGGAGTAGTACATGCCCGCTGGGGGCCACTCCCACTCCCCAGCCCAGAAACAAGCTGCGGCTCAGAGTCAAGGTGCAGCCAGGAGGACCCAGCCGGCCTCCCCGGGGGCGTGGCTTCCAGCCACCCTGGGGACCCAGTGTGTTCCCAGTGGGCAGGGCAGGCCCGCCCCCAGCCCCTTACCTTCCAGAACATGAAGCTGACCGGGTCCACCACCGTGGGCTGGATGATCTCTCGCCCAGGGAAGATGCCCCAGGTGACGGCGTTGGGCTGCAGCTCGGGGGCATTAGTGATGTTTTCACCCTGGGGTGGGGGGGAGGTAGGAGCAGATGGGACAAAGCCAACCAGAGCCCCTTTGTTGCCCAGGCAGCCCTCTGCTCCACACACTCTCCCTCCCCCCCAGCTCTGTGAGCCTAGAGGCCACGCTGAGACTTCCTCCTCTCTCGCTTCAATCAGCTCTGCACCCAGCGGTTCTGCCTGCTTCCTCTCCACTCTGCTCCTTCGGGTCTAGCCTCTTTGCTACTCAGACAAGGGCCTCTGACTCCAGTGTTCCCAGGCCCGTTCGCCATCAGCAGAGCACTGTGACCGGCCTAAACAACACTTGGAGCCAGTGGCTCACCGCTTGGAAGGCTCCCTCCTGCCTTCGGGGAAAACCCCGTTCCAAGCCAGACCGTGGAGCCCGAGCCCCTGCTCCACACTAGCCTCGCGCTCACAGCCAGCGGTGACCCACTCGCTGCCTTTGCACACTGCCCTTCTCTCCTGTCCTTAAGGGTTCGGGCCACAGAGGACCCGCCAAGAAGCCCTGTGGCCTCCCAGGTTAAGTGTCCCTCCGCTGGGTCCCAGTGAACTGTCCCATTACCCGCTGACGGGCCTCCCTCGCTCGGCTGGGAGTTCCGAGGAGGGACCTGGCTCCATCTGCCCAGGGCCAGTGCCCGCCGAGTGCGGGAGTGCCCGTGGGTGTCCTCGGCTGGCCGCTGCCCCCGGAGCACCTCTGCATGGAGCTGGCCTACCTTCACGTCCACGATGTGGTAGTTAACGCGCTGCTCGTACTTCTTCAGCACCTGCAGCAGTGCCCCCACCGTGTCTCGGGAAGTGAAGAACTCCAAGTAGGCCTGGGGAGCAGGCACCCGTCACCCCTGGTCCCTGCTGGCCGCCTTCTCGGCGCTCAGCAATCCCAGCCCATTGCCTGCACACACAGGTGTGTGGGACACTTAAGACGGGGGCACTAGTGGTGGCCACTGGGTGGAGTCACGGAGCAGGTGGGGAGACTTCCCAGCTGGCCAGTGTGAGGGGCCTCTGCCAGCCCACCTCCTGCTAGGAAGCCGCTGGAAAGCTGGCGAGGAAGCCACAGTGGCTCTGCTGGCATCTCTGGCACCAACTGGACCAGAGATTAAGCTGGGTTTACTCCGTCCTTTGCCGTAATGCCCATAACACTGCACGGTGGGCCTCTCAGCCCCATTTCACAGATGGGGCAAGTTGAGGTAAAGTGGGCTCACTGGTGATAGACAGCAGAGCTGGCCTCTTCACACCGGGGTCGTTTTATCAGGGCCAGGGATTCAGTGAGTGTAACCTTTACTCAGGCAAGCCCCGGAGAGAGGTGTCAGCTCAGAAGAGTAGCAGGTGCTCCCTGTTCCTCCCGGTGCTAAGCTTTGCCTGCCTTGTCACGTCTCCTCCCCACACCGTGGGTGATCCGGCCCACAGAGCAGACAGGGGACCCCAGCCAGGCCTGACCCAAAGCTCCCGTCCACCCTGGTCCCTGCTGCTCAGCGAAGGGCCCAGAGAGGAAGGCTCCTGTCCCAGCGACGGGCGCCCTGCACACCTTCTGGAAGACATAGCCCCCGCTGGGGCCCCAGCCCACGACCGGGTCGGAGGACGGCTTCCCGTTGATGTTGGGCTGGGAGTTGATGGTGAGGATGCCCCGCCGGTTCACACGCAGCAGCTCCTCCTTCATCAGGCTGGTCTCGGCCGCCAGGGGCTCGTCATTCCAGGGCAGGCAGGTGACCTGGAGGGAGGAGCCGGGCTGGGCTGACAATCCCCATGAGACACCCGGCCTGTCTCTGCCTCTGTGAGTCCCTCCCAGGCCCCCCAGCTGGCGACTTCCCAACTCACCCTCTCCCGTGGCTGAGGTCCCACGCTCAGAGCAGAAGGAGGAGGTGAGGGCGGGTGGGGGGCCACTGAGAGGCGGGGTGGGGGGTGGGAGGTAACCAGGGACCCCACCGAGCACCACTCACTGGACAGCCGCTCTGGTTCGGCTCCCCCGAGAGGTAGTGGACAAAGACTTCAAAGACGCTCTCTTCGCTGGTCAGCTCCTCCCCCCACATCTTCAGCAGCTCCTCCCGCGGGGCCTTGCTGGTCAGGTAGAAGAGGTAGTAGTCCTTCAGCTCCCCGAAGGCTGGCGAGGAGGAGTGGCCCCTGCAGGGGACGGGCCAGCGGTCAGGGCGCAGCCTCACCTCGGGCTCCTTCCAGGAGGACAGCTGTCCCCCACACCGGAGGTCCTTCTGTGAGGCCAGTCCCTCCAGGACCCCTGCCTCCCAGGACACAGCACCCGCTTGCCAAGGACAGTGCGGCCTCACCAGCGGCCGTTGGGGAACTCATCCCAGTCCTGGGTGCGGTAGATGTAGCTCTTGGGTCTGGAGGCCCAGAAGATGGGACGCACGTCTTCCTCCCGGCGCTTGGGGTGGGCGCTGACAGCCCAGGGCAGGGGGCGCCTGGCGGAGGTTGGGGACAGAAAGGGGCTGGCTCAGGTCCTCGGGGGAGGACCCACTGGGCTGGGGCTTTCCATCTGAATTGTAAATGTCAAGGTGCACGCAGACCTCCCACTGAGGCTGGACCCCCCCCCCCCCCCGTGTGTCTCCAGCCACAGCACGGACAAGCCCTGCACCCGTGGCGTCCAGCCCTGCGAGGGGGCACTCTTCCTGCGACTCCCCATCCGGCCTCCCTGCCCACTGACTCCCCTCTGTGGCTCCCGAGCCTGCATTGGGGGCCCCTGGCCTCACCTGGGGTCCTCGGCCCACATGCCCAGGCGCTTCAGCACCTCGGTGGTGGCCATCCTGCGGTTGAGGGTGTAGAAGTGCAGGCCGGGCACCAGGCCGCTGGCCAGCAGCTCCTGGCACAGGCTCACGGCATGGTCGATGCCGTAGTTGCAGATGGCATCGTCGTTGTCCTTGATGGGCTCGATCACGTCCCTGATCTTCTGCGGCACCTCCAGCTTGGACAGCTTCACGAGCTGCCGCAGGGAGTGGTAGCCCTGCCGAGACACGGGGGCCGTGGAGCCACGTCCCACCCTGCCCCTCACCCTGCTCCTCCCCTTCGGCTCCCTCCCAGGCCTCGGGGCCAAGCGCAGTGTGACGGAGACCCAGGCCGGTCAGACCACGCTGCGCAAGGACCCTCGCCTGGTCCTGCTTTTTCCAGTCTGCAGGGACTCAGCTGCCCAGAGCATCCCTGCCATCGGTCGGAGCCAGCCCTTTAGCCCCAGTGGTTCCCATGCCTCCCGGGTCATGGGGATCACCTGGGAGACCTGAGAAGGTGCACATTCCCAGGCCCAGGCTCCACCTCAGATCTGCTAACTCAGCACTTCTAGACACGGGATCTGGAAGTCCATCCAGCACTTCTAGACACGGGATCTGGAAGTCCATCTTTTGAAAAAGCTTATCCCGCCAAAGCCGGTTTGGCTCAGTGATAGAGCGTCGGTCTGTGGACTGAAGGGTCCCGGGTTCGATTCCGGTCGGGGGCATGTGCATTGGTTGCGGGCACATCCCCAGAAGGGGATGTGCAGGAGGCAGCTGGTTGATGTTTCTCTCTCATCGACGTTTCTAGCTCTCTATCTCTCTCCCTTCCTCTCTGTAAAAAATCAATAAAATATATTTAAAAAAAAAAAAAAAAGAAAAAAAAAAAGAAAAAGCTTATCCTATGATTGTGATGACAGCCGAGCTTCGGAAACATTGATGTAATAAAAATTGAGGGTCAGAGTTATGGTGATCCCTTGTAGTGACACTTGTCAGTAAGCCATGTGCAAGCCCCTCCATCAGGTGCTGTTGCTGGTTTTGGGGAAGGGGGGGAACTGGAGGTAACCAAAATGGGGCGGTGAGAGAACATCTGCCAGGAACTCCATGGAGCGTCCAAGAACCTGACCACGAACCGAGCGCCTGGCCCCGGGCCCGGGCCCCTCACCTGAATGGGGAAGATGCCGGGGAGGACGGGGCAGGTGACGCCCACCCTGGAACAGGCCTGGAGGAAGTGGAAGAACGTGTCCGCCTCGAAGAAAAGCTGGGTGATGACGAAGTCGGCCCCCGCATCCACCTTCTCCTTCAAGTGCTCCAGGTCGTCCTCCAAGCTCTCCGCGTCGGGGTGGCCCTTGGGGTAACCTGTCAATAGGACGGCGGTGAGAGAGGCCGGCTCCGCCTGCCCAAGGTGACGGAGGGAGACACCAGCGAGCTGGCAACACGCTCTGCTCTCTGCCGCCACGGCTCCGGGCTCGGACCTCCTACCACCAGAGCGTGGACGGGTAGAAGCGGTGAGGCGCTGGGCTCACAGCTGACGTCCCCCTCCCCCAGGAGATGACGCTTGGTGAGCCGTGGCTCAGAGCCACCCCGCCAAGTGGGAGCAGATTGCTCCGAACCCCACACTGTCCTGCCTCGTGTCCCTTGCAACCAGCCAGGCAAACCAGCCCGTGCTTGGTGGCCCTGAGGGAGAGAACGCCCGCTCAGCAGTTGGGCAGCGCTTTTAACATTAAATTTACTTTAAAAAAAAACACACACACACCAAAAAAACATGATACACACAAAAAAATAAAACATCAAAATTTCTCAGAGGTCCAAGAAAGTGAAAAGTCAGAAAGCTCGGGCGTTCTGCTTGAAGAATGAAGAGAATATAGTAACTATTTTTTTTTTTTTTTATATATATAGTAACTATTTCTAAGTGGCCAAAGGGCCATCCTGGTCAAGTTCATATTCTCTGATGCTTCTCACGGCAGAACCAGGGTCAGCCAGAGGCTGCCTGACAAGGGACCAAGCAGCCCCACTAAGCAGGGAGCAGAACACTGGGGCAGCTGGGATCCCCACATGCCTGGAATTGCCTGGGAGCAGGAGTGGTTTCCTGGGCTCCCCACTGGCTCAGGGAACTCTCTGACCGCTTTGCCTAAATCAGAGTCACATGCGGCTCACGAGCCGCGGTTTGCCTAATGAGTTTGCCGACCACTGCGTAAGGCATTACCCTTACCCAGAAGTTTTGACTTGTGTTAAAGACATTAGTACGTTAGTAAAATGTTTTTTCAAGTGTTTTTCCCCTAAGGCAGTTTGCCGACCACTGGTAAATGTCTCAGCTCCCTTAGCCCAGCCCGCACAGGAAGGCTGCAGCCTCGATGAAGCTTCAGGCAGAACGCTGGCTTACTCAGCCCGAGGTCAGGGCCCGGGCAGGCTTAAGACCCACGCTGGTGGGAAGCCAAGCTGCTCTGTAGGTAGGGCTGAGGGTAAACCCAAAGTTACTTACAAAGAGTAGTTTCACTGATACTACATGGCTTATTTTTTTATTATTATTTTTTCAATATTTTTGTACAGAGAGGAAGGGAGAGAGATAGAGTCAGAAACGTCGATGAGAGAGTCATCGATCAGTTGCCTCTTGCACACCCCCTACTGGGGATATGCCCGCAACCAGGGTACATGCCCTTGACCGGAATCGAACCCGGGATCTTTCAGTCCCCAAGCCGACGCTCTATCCATTGAGCCAAACCGGTTCTGGCTAAAGTTCGGGTCACTTTTGATATACTACTCCATCATGCGGCTTTGTTTAATATAAAAAATGGTTTTCCCCAAAATATTTGAGAAAAAAAAAATGTCATGCCAAGATGATGCACCAATGAATCCCCAGACCTCCTGTGTCCCGGGGACGTTGCCTCCTCATACCCAAGCCCCTATCTGAGAAGCTGGAGGCCATCCCCGCTAGGGGGGTAGGAGGGAAGGCCCCCCCAAACCGTTTCCAGCAGGGAAACCTTGCCTCCTGGCTGTAGCCAGTGGAACTAAATTCAGCTGATCTGATTCTCCTAGAAGGTGGCATTGACATTGAGGCCTGTCAATCAGTCTGGGCCATTAGTGGAAGTGGAACTGACCAGGTGCCCCCAAGAGCAGTTGTGCAGCAGGAGGCAGAGATGGGGGTCCATGACCCCAAAGAGATTGAGGGCCTTGGTTTCTTAAAAAAAAAAAAAAAAAAAAAAAAAAATTTTAATAAGTTTTTACTGCTTTTTAGAGGAAGGGAAAGGTATGAGAAAGAACCATCAACTTGTATGCCTCCGTATGCACCCCGAGCGGGATCGAACCCCAACCCAAGCATGTGCCCTGACCAGGAATGGGACCAGTGACCTTTTGTTGTACAGGATGACGCTCAACCATTTGAGCCACACCGGTCAGGAAGGGCTTAGTTTCCGACGGCCTTCCGGCTCCAGCACCCAGTGCGGTTTTCTGGCCTTGGGTTCTGTGATTCTCTGCCTCCTAATAAATACTCCTCTTTTAATATTGATTTTTTTACATAGAGGAAGGGAGAGGGATAGAAAGCTAGAAACATCGATGAGAGAGAAACATCGATCAGCTGCCTCTTGCACACCCCCCATTGGGGATGTACCCGAAACCAAGGTACATGCCCTTGACCAGAACTGAACCTGGGACCCTTCAGTCCTCAGGCTGATGCTCTATCCCCTGAGCCAAACCGGTTTCGGCTCCTCTTTTGTTTTAAAGAAGAACAGGCTAAGAACATGAAAAGGCAGAGAAACAGAACCTTCAGGGTAGTGGCAGCCTGGGCAGAGAGCGGATGATAGAAGGCTGAGTCAGGGCATTAACCCAGCTCTGCCCTGCTCTCCGCCGCCCCAGTCTCAGGCCCGCAATCACGGGGTTACCACACCCTGGACTGAATGCAGGTGAACTCTGTGCCTGCCCTGCCCGCCGGGCCGCTCCACCACTCACCGGCCACACAGATGTCGAAGTAGTCGCCAAACTCGCTGCGGATCAGCTTCACCAGGTCTGTGGCGTAGCGGAAACAGCCTTCCTCCTCCTCCCACTGCTCGCCGACGGGGTCTGCAGGGTTGGTGAAGGTCATGGTCACTGAGGCTCATGGATCTGCAGTTAGCTTTTCTTTTTTTCCCAAATATATTTTATTGACTTTTTACAGAGAGGAAGGGAGAGAGGTAGAGAGCTAGAAATGTCTGAGAAACATCGACCAGCTGCCTCTTGCACACCCCCTACCGGGAATGTGCCCGCAACCAAGGTACATGCTCTTGACCGGAGTCGAACCCGGGACCTTTCAGTCCGCAGACGCTCTACCACTGAGCTAAACCGGTTTGGGCTGCAGCTAGCTTTTCTGTACCTCCTTCTTCCTCCTACACCCAGGACCGAGTTCCTCAAAGGCAGAGCCATCATGCTATTCAAACTGGGGTCTCCGCTTGCTAGCCTCGCACTTGGTAAACAGCGGGAGGGGAGACAGGGCCCAGCCTGTCAGACATGTGCCAAGCACTGACTGTGGGCTCTGGGCTGGCACTGTTGAACAGGGGACAGATGCTGCTCTTGGCTTAGCTTGGAGCATCTGAGACATATCCCCCCCCCCAAAAAAAAAAAAAACCTGGGTGCCTACCCTCACCCAACCAGCCCCACTGCTCACCGTCCCACCTATTGGAGCTCTTTTCTCCTGGGAGAATTTCCCACTCATCTCAGGTGAGGAGTGGGCTTGTCGTGGGAGCACAAGCCACACGACCCCTCCCGTCAGGCTGCGGCCAGAAGCGCAGGCAGCTAGTTTCACTCCCAGGACTAGTGCCAGCGCCGCCGTCTTAATGGTGCCAAGAGCTGGGTGCAACCAGGGATCGATGAAGCCATGAAGCCGGGGCAGGGGTTCACCAGGCACCGGAGGCTTTCCTGACTGGGCTCCCGCCGGGCAGGGCACCTCACCTCCTCTCAGGGCCAGGATGTTCTTGAGGCCCAGCCGCCTGGCCTTGTGCAGGTGGCCGGTGATCTGCTCCTGGCTCTGCTGGCAGCAGGTCATGTGCAGCATGGTCTCCAGGCCGCAGTAGTTGACGGCTGTGCTGGCGATCGTCATGGAGGAGGTCTCCTTGTCCGAGCCGGGGTCCCCTGCCGGGTGCCAGGTCACATCTATGAAGAGGGGGCCACCTGCCCCCATCTGGTCAAACCTGTTGGGAGTTTCTCTCTGAAGAGGGGGGTCCCTGGGGGCACGCCACCCTTCCCCACCTTCCAGGGGGGTCCCGGACTTAGAGAAACAGCACAGGAGGTTGGCATCAGACTGACGGGCATTCATAGCCTGACTTTGCTACTTATTAGCTGTGCGACCTTGGGGAAATTAATCTCCTTTCCCTCGTTTCTACAACCTGACAGAGAACAGTACCCACTTGATAATAACTCTCTGCGACCGCTCTTAGATCAGGGCCTGGTACACGGTGAGCTGCTAGCGTTAGGATCACTGTTGTGGAGGTAATATACACCGATATAACCATGTAAAAGCAGTACTGTAGACTTCCCAGGGCTGGCATATTTGTTACATGGGTGAGTTCAGGGCACTGGGCGAGGGCTGGAGAACCCTCAAGGGTGGCAAGCAGGGCCTCATTCCAGGAACACGAGCGAAGAGGGTCAGCAGACACCAGTGTGAATCATGCTGCCCCTCCCCCCATCCTGGTGCAGCAGGCAGCGCTGCAGAGCGAGGCCACAGCCCAGGAACCAGACTCAAGAGGTGGGTGTGGGTGTGTGTGTGCGCGCGCACGAGCCGTGTTACCAGCTATTTAACGAGGTATTTAAACATCCTCCTGCCTTCAACGTCAAGCCTGGGGAACTACGCACGAGAAGTGAAAGTGGGAAAAAGCATAGATCAGCTTAAAAAAATAAAAGGAGCTGCGATTCAGAAAGTGCTAGCGTAACTCAGTTGGCATTTCTAGATTTCAAGAGGCACGATCCAAAAGCTCTACGAGGTGCCGCTTCCTAAAACGACACTCACGATCCAGCTTACGTCCTCCACGTTTTTAACCCGGTGTGGAGTGTGTCCACCACCCTGGAGGTTTGGGGGGACTCTGACTGACACCGGCGAAGCTGGAGGTCCAACAACCGAGCCCGCGTGTGCTCTGGGGGCCTCTTCCTGCCGCCCGCCCCTCCTCACCTGGCCCTGCTCCTGAGCCCCAACCATCTCACCTCGAGATGAGATTGACAGCGGCCTGTGCGGTGCGCGGAGGGAAGAATTCCAGAGAGAACCACTTGTCCCCGGACTCCATCCTCCGCCTCATTTTCTCCCGGAGTCTCTCGTGCCGCTCAGGGTCCGGCCCGGGCGAGGAGCATCTCGAGCTGTCCTTGGAGCTCTCCATGCCGCCGCCGCTGCCCTCCGAGCGGGGGTTGGGGCCGCCGTTCCCTCTGGGTTCGCTCGCCATGGCCGAGTGCCTGCTACACAGGGTGGGGGCAGGGGGCGTCAGAAGCCGGCAGCCAGCCAGCCAGCCAGCCAAGCCCCCGAGGGGCAGGGTCAAATGACAGTTACTGCGTTTCCCCGCAGGGTGAGGGTGAGAAGGCCCCTACCGGCTGGCTCCCCATGCCACTGCTAAAACTCACACCAGCCTCAGCCTCACTCAAAGCTTCTCCCCCTGCTGCTACCCGACTCCTCCGAGCATGACAGCCCCCTCCCGTACAGAAACACGTCCCTCCAAGCCCTCCGATCCGCAGCGGCAGCTACCTGATGGAGGGAGGCACTGAGAACCTCATGATGCCAGCCTCCAGGGCCCGCGTTCCCAGGGAGGGGTAGCAGTGCCCGGCGGGGAGCACCTCGGGGTTTGGAAGGTCCATGTCGGCCAGTCTGAGACTCAGACTGGGCTGGCAACAGAAAACTTCCCCGCGGGTGTTTCCCTCATGGGCGGAGCAGCCACAGAGGAAGAGCTCAGAGTTAGAGCTGGGGCCAGCGAGAGGGAGAGAGGGAGGCGGGGGCGAGGCCTCCGGGCAGAGGGAGGGCTGAGGCTCCGGCTGTAGGAGGCAGATAGAAGGACGCCTCAGGCCAGAGACTGTGGGCGTGGAGGGGAGGCCAGCAGACGTTCAGGGTCACTGATCACTCCACAGAGAAGAAAGAGCTGATAGCATTATAGATATGATCCAAGCATGTCAGAATGTAGGATCAAGCACTTTTCAAGTGAATTTACTTGCTGCTGCAGTAACAAGTGGAAATAAGAGGTGTTTCAAATGTGGAAAAGGAGGTCATTTTCAGAAGGAATGTAGGCAACCGAGAAGGCTAGGGAGAGGCATAAACACTTAGCCTCCAGATTCAGTCTCTCGGTGTCCTAGATGTCAGAAAGGGAACCGCTGGGCCAGTCAGTGTAGATCAAAATTCCTTAGAAACGGGCAGCCTCTAATCAAGATAGAGGGCATGATCAATTACCGGGAAACGGCCAGAGGGGCGACCCCAGCCCCGTCATCAACAGGGGAAATCTGCCCTGCAAGGCCCCCCACAATGGATTCCCTAATCCGAGCAACCCCAGGAAGCCCAAGCCTGGATCTTAACAGCACTATAGCGGTCACTTTGACCCCCAATATGGCTCGGCAAGCTAGTCCTACAGAAATTTGGGGACCTGCACCACTGGGAACTTTAGGATTAATCTTAGGGACGAGTGGAAATACTCTAAAAGGACTAACTGTCCTGCCTGGCGTCATTGATTCAGACTATGAAGGAGAAGTTAAAGTTATACTAGAATGTAATCATGTTATGCAAATTACTGTAGGACAAAGAATTGCTCAGATATTACTTCTACCTTATGTTCAGCAAGGTGAGGCTTTAAATAGGAAAAGAGGAATGCAAGATTGGCAAGTTCAGACATCTATTGGATACATGATATTAGCAAAAACCGTCCTATGATTAATTTAAGGATAGAGGAAAAACAATTTAGGGGTCTAGTGGACACTGGAGCTGATGTAAGTGTTATCAGCAAAGAGTTCTGGCCTCCAAGTTGGTCCACGGTAGAAGCTATGGGCTCAGTTAAGGGGGTAGGAATTCCTAATGACACACAACGTAGTGCTGCAGTGTTAAGGTGGCAGACAGGATGGTTTCAGTCCTACGTCATCTCTGGAATTGCAGTCAACTTATGGGGCCGGGATATATATTTTTTTAAATCAATCTTTATTGTTCATATTATTACAAAGGTTCCTCATTTCTTCCCCCCTCCACCAGGTTCCCACCCCACCCTCCGCCTCCTTCCCCTCCTCCATTGTCCTCATCCATAGGTGCACAGTTTATGTTCAGTCTCTTCCTCCCTCCCTTTCCCCTATCGATAGTAAATCCCTTTTCAGATAGTAAGTCAGTTACTTAGCATTTCCTCATATCAATAATACCTCCACATGCCCAAAGATACACTTCACACAAAAGACATTTCCAAATAGGTCAACCAACCTCATCCAGGGGCTGGGATATTTTAGAAGGTTTACAGGCATGTATTGTTATTGGCAAAGGAAATAAGTTCATAACTCAAATAGGATATCAACCTTTTTAGGAGCGGTCACTGCTCAGTCTCCTCACCCTCATGCTGATCCTATACAATGGAAAGATGATAAACCTGTATGGGTGGATCAGTAACCAAGGAGAAATTAAGTAAAATTCATGAATTAATACAAGAACAAATAGAGGCTGGCCACATAGAACCGTCCAATAGTCCCTGGAATACACCTATATTTACAAGCCCTAAAAAGGCGACAGGGAAATGGCGATTGTTACATGATCTTAGAGCTGTTAATCCTACTGTGCTACCATGGGAGCCTTACAACCTGGACTTCCAGCGCCTTCACAAATCCCTTTAAATTGGTCCCTCATAGTAGTAGATCTTAAGGATTGTTTTTTCACAATTCCCTTGGCACCTCAAGATAAAAAGAGATTTGCATTTTCAGTGCCATCTATTAATAATATAGAGCCTATGAAAAGATACCAATGGAAGGTTTTACCTCAAGGAATGGCCAATAGCCCTACTTTGTGTCAAAATTATGTGGCTCAAGCTGTTCAGCCTTTAAGGGACAAATATTCCCAATGTTACATTATTCATTACATGGATGACTTGCTCTTAGCAAGCCCAAGGGAGGAACAGACCTTGGCCATGTTCTCCCAATTAGAAGAGGAGCTCCCTAAATGGGGCTTAAGAATTGTTCCAGAAAAGGTACAAAAAGAAATACTTTCCAATACCTGGGAACCACAATTGAAAACCAAAGCATTAGGCCTCAGAAGGTGGAGATAAGAAAAGATTGTCTTAAAACTTGAAATGACTTTCAGAAATTATTAGGAGACATTAACTGGTTAAGACCTTATCTGAAGATCTCTACAGGAGAAATCACAAATTTATTTAGTTTACTTAGAAGTGACTCTAATCTTTCTTCTCCCCGAACTTTAACTGATGAAACGAGGAATGAGTTGCTAAGGGTTGTGAAAGAAAAAACCACATGCTAACCTGACAAGCTCAGGGAAGGCCTGCGTGGCAGTCTTGCAAACCCAGAGACCTAAGATAACCACAAAAGATGGTTTGAAAATTAAATATCTAACAGGTTATGGTAGGTAGTCATGTCCCAGATATTCTCCCAGACAAAGATCAACTTTGGTCTTTTTACTGAGCCTGTTTGCCTTTAGGCCTCTAAGATAACATATCTGTGAAATGTCTGGGTAACTTGTAACTACCCTTTTTCTGGAGCCTCTGGGGCACAACCAAATGTGGTGGGCGCCAGGACAGATGCCTCAAATTCCTTCGTTATCATGTTAATTGTTCCTGCAGTCACCTGGAGTACATGTCCATTATTTTACTTTTTATCCAATCCCAGGACTTTCCCACCGCTTTGCTTTCTCCCGCCTCCTTACTCCATCACCAATGAATTCCATGTAACCCACCTATGTCCCTCCTTTGATTTCGGTGTATAAATAGAGAAATGTAACCCGCCATTCTTCGGAGCATTTTCTCAATCCGTTGAGGTTCTGCTTCCCGGCAATTGTCAACAGTAAGGCTCAAATAAACTCTTTAAAAAATTCTTTACAGGTTTCAATGTGTTTTTTTTTTTGTTAACAGGGTTGAGCAGGCAATTTCCTCAGCCCAAGTAGCACGGGTATAGCCGGAATTGCCTTTATTGGGACAAATTAACCCTACTGCAAATAGTCCCACTGGAGTCATCTTTCAAAATAAAAATTCTCCTGCCATTATTGAATGGGTCCACCTAGGACATCAATCCTCTAAAACTGCAGTTACATATGTAGAATTATTGGCCCAATTATTATTTCAAATTAGGAAACGTTGTAAACAGCTTAGAGGGGAAGAGCCCCAGTGTATCTACCTCCCCCTCACTGGGAAGCAATTAGAAATGTTATTTCAGACTGATATAAATTGGCAAATTGGGTTAAGTGGATATTCAGGGGAACTTAGCTGTCATTTATTAAAAGATAAATTATTACAATTTTTATATAATACCTCCATCATTATACCAAAAAATACTAGGCAGGAACTAGCTCCTATTCCTGGAGCTTTAACTATTTTTACTGATGGATCATCAAATGGGAAAGCTGCCTATCATACAATAGATTCAGACTGATCATACTGACCAGTCATACTTCTGTACAAAGAATTGAACTAGAAGCTATTAAGGCTGTATTGCAGGATTTCCAAGAGCCTCTTAATATTGTCTCTGATTCCTTTTATGCTGCAAACTTAGTGAATAGAATTGAAACTGCCAGGTTGAAATGGCTTAGTGACTAAAGTTTATTTTTACTATTCAAACAAATTCAGCAGATTGTACAACAGAGACAATATCCTTTTTATATTACTTATATCAGGGCTCATAGTGTCTTACCTGGTCCTTTAACAAAAGGAAATGTACATGCTGATCAACTGGTTGCTTTATTGAAAGAAGCCTTAGAATCTCATCAGCTTTTACATCAGCCTGCCAAAATGTTGTCTAAACAATTCTCAATCACTCGACAATAGGCAAAACAGATTATTAAGGAGTGTCCAACTTGCATGTTACATCTACCTCAAGGGCCTAACACAGGAGTCAACCCCAGAGGTTTGCTAAAAGACCATATCTGGCAAATGGATGTAACGCATTATAATTCCTTTGGAAGCCTTGGGGCATTACATGTCTCCTTAGATACCTTTTCAAAAGTCCTATGGACTACTGCATCTACAGGAGAAACGGCAAAACAGGTTATTAATCATTGCCTAGCTGCTTTTGCCGTCATGGGAATTCCAAAAATTATTAAAACTGATAATGGGCCTGCTTACACAAGCTGTCAATTCCAGGAATTTTGTAAAAAGTGGAAAATCCAGCATATTACAGGAATACCATATAATTCCCAAGGACAGGCCATTATTGAACAACAGCATCAGCGGTTAAAATCCCAACTTGAAAAACAAAAAGGTGGGATGATGGAGAAATCACCCGCAGGTAGGCTGCACCAAGCCTTAATTACTTTAAACTTTTTCACTTGTGATGATGAAGGAAGGACGCCTGTGGAAATACATTGGCATCAGAGTAAAACAAAAGAAAATGGTCTAGTTAAATGGAAGGATCCCGAATCTGGTTTATGGAAGGGACCTGATCCGTTATTAACCTTTGGCCGAGGGTATGCTTGTATATTCCCAGAAAATTTTTCCAAACCAGTTTGGATTCCTGCTAGAAATATTAAACTGCAACAGGGATCCAGGAGAGAAACTAGCCAGACTAATGAGGACCTTGCACCTGGAGCCACACCATGCAGCTGCAGACAATCAACTACCCCAGCTACAGAGGGCAGTGACTCCAAGCAGTCCACTGGAGATGAGCAGGAGGACGAGCCGGAC